GGTGCGAAATAGAATAATAAGAAAGGTGGAGCATAGCAAATGAGCAACGCCGTTAGGAGTTGTGCCCAAACCTGGGCGAAAAATATGAAACTGTGGCGATTATAAGGTCACACTGAACCCGCAATTAGATGTTAATCAGTATCCCTTGCCCGAGCCAGACGATTTGTTTCATATGCTACATGGTGGTAAAAAATTTTAAAGGTGGATCCCTCGAATGCGTATATGTAGGTGGACCTGGAAGAAAGTTCAAGGAGTAATACTACGATTAATACGCATAAGGGATTGTTCGAGTATGCGCGGATTCCATTTGGAATCGCGCCAGCAATCTTCCAGCGAATAATGGAGACGCTGGTGGGAATAGAGGGAGCACTGATCTATCTGGAGTGTGAATTTTTAAAGAAGAGACGGAATTTTTACGCCACGTGGGCGACGAAAAAAACATCAGACCATCTCTAAATGAGCTGAAAGCAATATTTAACATGTCAAAGCCTAGGACTTTGAGAGGACTGGAATTTTACCTAGGTGTGATACAATATTATGGGGAATTCACTCCGAGACTGACGACACTAGGAGCGCCTTCAAATGGTCTGCGGAGAAAAATGCACCGTGGCGGGGTGCACAGGAGAAAGCAGCCTTTGGTCAGATACGTGAAAAGTTAACGGCGGCGGATACATCAGCGCATTATAACCCAGATATTCCAGTAGTGTTAGCCAACGAAGCTTCAGAATATGGTATTGGTGCCGTATTATACCATAGGTACGAAGATGGTACCGAAAAAGTTATTGCGTACGCATCGCGTTCCTTGACGAGCAGGTGCGCAATAACCCCAAATAGAGAAAGAGGCGTTGGGCATAGTATAAGGTGTAGAGAAATTCAATCGGTTTCTCTATGGCCGCCGTTTCACCCTATCAACAGATCATCAGCCGTTAGTGAGGATTTTTGATCCTAAACAAGGGCTGCCGGTGATAGCAGCAAAGAGGCCGCACAGATAGGCGTTAAGGCTCATGTTGTACTCGTTCGAAATAGAGTATAGGAAGACTACAGACTTTAGTAATATGGACGGATTGTCGAGATTACATGATCCAAGAGAGTTGCTCATCTCTGAAACGGTAGTAAATGAGTTGCATGTTCAGCAAGTGGCAGAAGAAGCGATGGAAAATCTGCCTGTAGTAGAGGTGGAAATAGCCAAGGCCACGAAAGAAGGCGCTCTGCTGCGGACTAAGGTTAATTATGTGCAGAAGATGACCAATGAAGTAAACGATGATAAGCTGAAGCCGCACGCGGTTGAGGACGGCTTTGGGAAATAGGGTGGCTTCCCATAGAAGTTTCAGTCAGTAGTGTTAAAAATGCTGCACATAGCCTTTTTGGAAAGAATAGGATGATTAGCCTGGCACGAACCAAGATATGGTTCTCAAGCATGGATAGGGCGGTGGCAGAAATAGCAAAGAAATGCAGTACATGTGCAGTGATGGGTAGAGATCCGATGAAGATACCTCCGCACCTATGGAGCCAAAGGAAGTCCGGCGAAGGCTACACATCGATTTTTGCGAGACAAGAGGGGTGGGGGGCTAAAATGGCTGATCGTGGTGGACGCTAAGTTCAGGTGGCCCGAGGTAGCCAAAATGGGTACCACCACAGCCAAGAAAACAATAATTGCGCTGAAAGAGGCTTTCAGCAGGAATGCGTTGCCGGAGCAGTTGGTTTCCGACAAAGGACCCCCTTCACTTCGGCAAAATTCCGTGAATACTGCTGTAAAAGAGGAATTCAGCAGATATTCGCACCGCCGTACCATCCTAATTTAAAGAGAAGCGAACGTTCGAACACACCCTGTACAAAGGGTTGCAATCCAACAAAAGCCTGGAGAATACTGTATTGGATCTTTCGTTCGAATACAGGGGCACACCCCGTGCAGCAACGGGAGAGACACCCACGGAAATGCTGATGGGAAGGAATTTGAGGACGACTTTAGATGTAGTAAGGACAGGGAATATCGAGTCCTCAAAGAGGTATAGAGAAATGTGAAGAAAAACTATGATCGAGGAGGAAAGGAAAGATAATTTATTGTCGGACAAGAAGTATTTATTCGGAACTACACTGGGTCAGGGGAGCGGTGGATACCTGGAATTGTAGTCACAATTTTAGGCTCACGCATCTATGGCGTTCATTTCGGCATGGGAGTAAGAAAAACCCATGCGGATCAGTTGAAAGACAGGGTAATTCCGTGAGAGTTAATAGATGAGGGATAATTAGAGAAGAGGGACCAGAGAGTTCGTTACAAACTAGAGAACGTATCGAAGCGATACCGCTGCGACGATCTCAAAGGGAGCGGCAGGCTACCGCTAGACTGTAAGAGTTTCAGGAAAATGAAAAGCGCAGGAAAATAAACTGGATAAGGATGATAGTGAAGGAAGACGAAAACAAAAACAAAAGTTATCACCGTGGAGCTCATTAAAGAAGGATGGATGGGTGTGTTCCCTCAGTTATGTTCGCGCTACCAAGTACCCCGGCGGCAGATGAACGGGACAAGCCCCGTTATTCAGCCCTCCCCCTGCATCATCGTACAGCAGCCGGCCAGCCTCTAAGTGGGGGTGCCGAACTGGCCAGCCCCGCCGTCACGAGGAAGAAGGCGCCGTCCGCAGCGCAGTAAAGCGCTGTGGACGGTGGTAGGAAGTCTACGGCGTGAGCTGCAGTGGCACCGTCGACCGAGAAGGAGCCGAAGCAGGAGCAACTATGGGTCCCGACGAAGACGAGGCCGCAGTCGCCCACGAAGCAAAAGTAGAAGTAGAAGCAGGAGCCGTCCCCTAACTGACGGGGCAGCGGCAACGAAGAGTTATAATAATTCAAAAGAATTGTGTTGGTAATGGGTTACTGGAGCAAGATAGACACAGTGGGTTGCAATGCTCGTGGTTCACTGTTGTAGAGTGGTGGGCCGCTCCTCAGAAATCTGGAGTGACCGGATGGTCACTGGAGGGAGGTGTAGGGGAGCGGTGTGGAATGTGTGAATGGAGAGAGTGGATGATTGGTTGAGAGGACTGAACGATTTATGAGTGCATAAAAGCTTGTTGTTTTATGAGTGCATAAAAGCTTGTTGTGGTCTAATAAATCATTCTTCTCCCTGTGTTTCATCTCATCGCAAATAACTTAGGCAGCAGTTGCAGCAGGGATGTTAGTGCGGGAACGCTCGACAATGGTTCAGCCTCCGTGATCAGACATCCAGCGCATCACTTCATCCACCCTTTTTTCTTGCACAGGATGAACATTATGGGACCATTCACGACAACATTTTTTTCCTTTCTCACTCCTTCGGGCTCTTGAACCAAATCTTTTACCTTGCATTCCGAGAACACCATTACGCGCAACCACTATTCTGGCCCAGGTCAAATTTGAAGAGCACACTTTCCTCTTATGACGCCTGGCTTGAAAATCCGGCGCTGATTCTGACCACTGGGGCAATTTCTCGAGAACATCTTCTGTGACTAGGTTTGCCAAAGTTCACAGATACATAGCTAAAGGTACTACCTTCCATATGGTATAGCAGAATTCTCCCCTATTCCCTTTGCTTTTCTGCCATTCCTCTAAATGTCTCTACATTTTTCAATGGAATGACCTAAAACTCACGAACGGGAATGAAGATCCAGGTTGTGAATAGGTAGAAATCGCAGCAGTAGAGTGATTGCTTCAAAATGTCTTCCATTTCCCGAAAGCCCCACACCTGAGAAAGTCATAACCCAAGCTCCAGGATTTCCACCAGCAGATCTGCTCCACCGCTAATTTGCCACTGAATCATAACGCGGCCTCAAGCGCTTGCCAGTCGTTATGTATCTAACCCCTCTGTCAGAGCAAACAATTAGAGCTGGAAAGTGAGAGAGGGGGGGGGGGTCGTACGAGATGCTTTTCCGGGGAGGGGTCGTAGCGACACTGCCATTTCACACATCACGATGCTGTACCCTACTGCGACAGCATGGCGTTTGAAGAGCTACTGTACCCTAGTGCGACTGCATGGCGTTTGAAGAGCTACTCGGGTAGGTACGCCTCCGTTGTTCAAGTTTGGAAACCATATGCAGACTTTCGTGGGGATTCCCATCACCTGGGTACACCTGTTCTCTGCACTCTCACCATTCCTTTCCGCTGTCGTCATGGATGCCATTTCAAGAGATCTACGGAATTTCCCTAGACGCTTCTTGGTACTAACGATGTGATGCTTGCTTGCGAAGGTAAAAACACGCTTGAGCAACAGGTTCATGCATGGGCCGATCGCATGGCCGAGTTTGGGCTCGAGTTGAACGTCAAAAAGACTGAGTACTTGACAACCGACCCAAGCGAGATGGGCTCCATCAAGCTGATGGCACTGAGCTCACTCGTACAAGAACATTCAAGTGTCTCGGATCAGCAACCATGTCTGATGATGGTCTGAACTTGGAAGTGAGACCATGGTGTGTGCAGCGTAGTCAAAGCTGCGTTCCATGTCCGGGATTCTCTGCGAGAAGGAGATGCCAGAGCGCTTCAAGTCGGAGATCTACAGAAGTGTCACTCAACCAGTCGCCCTACATGGTGCTGGGTGCTGGCACGCGACCAAAGAAGTCGAAGCTCGCTTAGTGTGATGGAGATGAAAATATCACACTGATCAGTCGGTGTCACGCTTATGGATCGGACTCGACACGATGACATACGCAAGAAATTTGGCGTACCTTCGACAGTTGATAAAAAGCGAGAGTCTCGTTTCCTATGGTACGGCCACGTACTGTGCGCAGGGAGACACCGTCTTTGAGACAAGGCTCCAGCTCAAGGTGCTTAGAAAATGCACTGAAGGACTTCCTAAACGCTGGCTCGAAACGCTGCACGCAGATTCAAAGATAGCTGGTACCTACCCAAATCAGGCATTCAATAGGAGTAATGGCGTCACAAAATCAGAGGAGCGGACCCTGCTACAAAGTGGGAAAAACACTGAAGAATAAGAAGAAGATATATCGAGCTAAACCAACAAACCAAGCGTTTTAGAACTATTTGTCACTGAAGTGCACCTCGAATCAGATTACAAACCTACGAACTTTACACAAATGCTACATGATACCTGCGAAACCAACCTTTTAAATTTCCTCATAGTGACATTGATCGCTCCACATGCATTGTCAAGTTGAGCCGACACAGCATCTCCAACCTCGTCAAAACTGAAAACGAGCGTAATGTTAAAGTTTCCAACACCATCTGATTTACGATTTTTTAAGCTGCGATTACCCTTCGTCCACACATCTGAGCGGAATTTCAAGCAACTCGCGGACGAACAGCCGTGAGAAATGCTTGTCAGGATCATCGTATTTGAAAATATACAGGTTAGAAAGGCGATCTGACACAAGTCGAGCCTCTGTGGGTATACGCCATAATTCGAGTCGTTCTGCACCGAGTATATCCACCTGAACTATGACCGCTCCATCAATAGTCGATTCCACTCAAATGATACCATGTAACTTGTGATGTTCATAGCGTGGTTTGACGTCAATAAACAACAAAGCTATACAGCAGCAGCGCACGTTTCCAGGCTGAGCCAAAAATTAGTGCAAATATCAGTCATCCCTAACAAGTATCCGAGCGATTCAATCAGAGTACCAAGCATCACAGTAAAATTTCCCTGTTGCTATCTTCGGCAAAAATAGATGTGTCGGTAATAGTGTGTATTATTGTACCTTTCAAAGTTTTTCGGTAATTCAGGTCAGGATCTGTTCATTAACATAAGGGTTCACCACAATCGTTTTCCCCTGAGGCCTGAAAGTGATTTTATTCGAAAGATGTACACCAAATGATTGAATTCCCAATGCATTCCAACAGTTCCGATGTCATGATGGTGTTGTGGAACCCAACAAAGAAACCCATGCACTTTGAGGACGATACTGGATACGCAGACGACTGTTCCACCGCAGATGCACAAAAACTCCTTTAGCCTTAACATAGCAAACGTGATTCACTACAACGTCTCCTTATTAATAATCAAAGCTTCCGCTTTAGATGAACCTTTTTTTGGATGCGGCACGCATACTACTTCCATTCAGTCGCAGTAGCTCTTGAATGCATTCGGACCTGTACAGTGACTTGCCTACCAAAAGTTAGCCAGCCCATGAGCATACCATGCCTTTTCCTCCCAGGTGGGTTCCATACCGGCTTTGGAAGGATGGAAGGCTTCGCTGGTCAGGGCGAGAGCCGGTTCATGATTTGACCCCGGAAGAGCGTCTTGAACGGGCCACTTGTCAGTATACCGTCTCCCCCCAGCTTTCATTGAAGAAATCATACTATAAAGGTGCACGCAACACTAGCTACTTCATAGCTCACAGTACAGCATGAGCATCACAAGATCATCGACGGACAAACGTCATGGCTGTTCGTCTGTTGATCTGCTAGCTGAGCTATGAAGTAGCTAGTGTTGCGTACGCCTTTATAGTATGATTCCTTCAATGAAACGCTGGGGGAGACGGTATACTGGCAAGTGGCCCGTTCAGCATATATATATATATATATATATATATATATATATATATATATATTATATAATATATACTATATATATATATATATATATATTATATATATATATATATATATATATATATATATATATATATATAATATATAATATATATATATAATATATATATATATATACACCAGTCGCCTCGCCGGCTCACGCCCGCGTGGCTCCTTTTGATACGGCCCGGCTGCCGCCGGCGGGCGCGGCTTTGCCGCGCGTGCTTTCTTTCACATATTTCTAGATTCAACTGATATCCCCCTTTTGTTCTGTACTCCATTTTTTTCCCGTGTCTGAAGTACTCTTGAGCTATTTTACAGAATTCTTCGTCTGACTCCGTCCACCTCACGCTGGCCCGCCCACAATGTTTGTACCCCACAATACTCACGGCGACCCCTCTGCTGACATTGATCCACTTTTTTTCCGGTCTTTGAAGTGCTCTGGGACAGTTTTTAGGGAATTTCGTCTGCGCTCCGCCCACCTCGGAGCAGGCTCCGCCCACAATGTTTTTGCCCCACAATCCTCACCGACGACCCTCTGCCGACCTTGATCACTTTTTTTCCGGTCTTTGAAGTGCTCTGGGACAGTTTTAGGGAATTTTCGTCTGGCTCCGCCCACCTCACGCTGGCCGCCCACAATGCTTTAGCCCCCACAATACTCACCCGCGACGCTCTGCTGACCTGATCGACTTTTTCCGGTCTTTGAAGTCTCTGGGACCGTTTTACAGATCTTTTGTCTGACTCCGCCCACCTCGGAGCAGGCTCGCCCACAACTTTTTTGCCCTACAATCTTAACACCGACGACCCTCTGCTGAACCTTAATCCACTTTTTTTTCCGGTATTTGGAGTGTTCTGGAACCGAGCTACAAACATTTAAAATGAATACCCTGCGATTTAGGGCAAGCCCCGCTCACTGTGGGCGGGTCTCAACACGTTTGAACGTGCCCTATATTCGCCAGATATTTACAATTCTAAACTGAGCTTTTGCGACTTCCAAACGCTCTCGCGAAAAGGGTTAGTGAATTTTGCGAGAAGCACCGCCCACCTTGAGTACGCCCCGCCCATTTAGGGTGTACCTGCCACAGTTAGTCTGGCGACTCCTTACTAACCCTTACTCCCTTTTTCCCCCATCTTTAGGCTGCCCCGAAAGCGAATTATGAACATTTTGGTGCGGAACCCCAAACTTTCGGGGAGTGCCCCGCCCACTGCGGGCGGAGCTTCCCTTAGGTAAAGTGTGCTTTTTATATTTCTTGTCCCACGCCCTACCCATCCCCCACCTTGACCGGACCTCTGCAAGTCGTTCTTCAGGTCGAACCGAACCGACAGACAAACTTACAAACGAACAAAACAAACTTACAAAACAAACAAACAAACAAAGCGGCGCTGGCGTTTACATCAAGTAACTCGAAAGAAATATCCACCCTACATGTGGTCGCCCGTAACCTTCTTGGAGACCTGTGCTGCTACAGTTTTGGGTGCCACCACATGAAATCGAAGGGTTTTGGAAAAACTCCCGCCTACTTCGAATGGAAGGGCGTTTCGTAACCTGAAGAATGTAAATTCCACTCAGTTACCTAGTCGGGCGGAGTTCAAGAGGGTGGTCTACGGTGGCAGAGAAATCAACGATCTCGCTCAACTCCGGTACCCACTCACTTTCGCGGCGGCCGAATCTCTCGATCGGCGCTCCTCCAGAAGGCTGCGGCGGAGTATCACTATAGTATTTAATGTGCTCTTTAATGGTGGGTAGTAAAAATGTCATAAAAATTCAATAAAGTGTAACTTATAGCGCCTTGAAAGTCATGGAGGCAAAATGACTTTTTTTTTGGCCCCCCTGTATATATATATATATATATATATATATATATATATATATATATATAGTATATATATAATATATATATATATATATATATATATATATATATATATTAAATATATATATATATATATATATATATAGTTATGTCGATGGCAGCTTCATGTTTTTCAGGTTCAGGTTTCAGCTCACTTCAAACAAGAATGCAAATTCGGAGGTTTGAATTAAACTGCATGAAACGTATCAAAAACGACTTATGGTAGGGTAACAGATAGACTTTTCTCAATCGTGAGTCACAAAAGAAGCATAGAAAAACGTACCACCCTCATGTCATTCCTTTAAATGTGGACTGCCAAACAGCCACTCCAGCTAGTAACCCTATTGCTATGCTGGACAAATTGGCATGTTTTTGAGTCTAAACCCTCTGAAGAAGTGTCCATGACTTTGCTTGAGGAATAGATCTGCAAGTTCAGAAAAGAGACCAGAGGTCAGCGTCCGAAGACTCATCAAGGATGTCCATCGCATTAGAGACAGCCTATTCCACGTGTGATCAATGCCGAGTTATTTCAAGTGGCACAGCCTACTTCGTCTTTGTTGTCGATTCAGGCCAGCACGACTATCTGGCTGCACTAGGGATTTATGCTAGACATTTCACTCTGAATTTTTCCCCAGTTTTTTTCGGCGCAGCTCCTTCTCCGGATCACTCGACTGGAACACCGCTGCACTGTTTGCAGCTTTGCGCTCCATCCCCTCCCCACCCGACTCCGTGGAAAGCTACCCATGCCGTTGCGGCGCGAATTTTTGACGTCATCGCGGCGGCAGGGCGAGGCGAAAGGCGATGGCCTGCGCCCCCGACACTGTGCTCCAATCAGTAGCTTATGGAATTGGAAAGAGGAAAAAAGTGAGAGAAAGATGATTGAACAGGTAGTGGGTGCCTACAGGTGAGTCAGTGGTAGTGGTAAGCAGAGAATACAGAAAAGTCGACTATCAGGGAGAATTACTTCAACGACAAAACTGGCAAGATACTTCCCTTCGAATGAGGAAACGACGCAAACAGCTCAAACGTTTAAAGTGAGGTTTGGCAAATTCCCAGCAGTTATTTACGAACTTATAGTAGGACAGTGATAGGAAAATGGTAGAATAACGTTTGCGTAGGAGCTGCTTGCATCACTTTCACAATCGAAGGGAACTATGTCGCCAGTATCGCCGTTGACTGAATTAATACGCTCTGAACCTGTCTTTTGCGTATTCTCGCACCACTACCACTGATTCACCTATAAGCATCCACTATTCGTTCAAACCTCTTTTCTCTCTTTTCCTTCCACATTAAAGCGAGTGCGGACTGGATCACAATGGCGGGCAAGCCATGGGCCTTCGCTCCGCCCTGCCGCCGCGGTGACGTCAAAAACCGCTTCGCATGCGAGCCCGAGTGAGTTTTTTATCCCTCCGGTTTGGATCCTAGGGGACAACTTTTGCTTTCTTTGACTGCCTCAACAGACATTCTTTGAGCCAAGAAAATTTTCTGACCTTTCCTACCTTTCTTTATTTGTTGTAGCAAACCGTTTGGTCGGCAGTGTGACCGGAGTCACACTTCTTCGCAATGACAATGACGCGACGGACAGCCGGCCAGTTGTACCGTCACTCTGGTGTGTCCGAACTGTTTCCTGCACGACATGCATCTGGGTAGCCGCTGGGTGAGTGACCAACTGTCTTAAATCTTTTCTGACTCTTACCGACTATTCGCTCAACAAAATGCCGTCCTCCTCTACCGAGAGACATCAATTGCACTCCTTCTGCTTTCGCCGCGCGTACCTTCTTCCCTATGTTTCAATACTCACCTACTATCCGGTTTTTCTTTTATCTGTACACGTGGGCAAGGCTTTTCAACCATTAGCACCAACCTGCCTTTTCCAACAATATTACCTTCCACGGAATGTTAGTTGGGTATTCACACATACGAAAGAAGGCACGCGCGGCAAAGCCGTGCACGCTTGACAAAACGGAGCCCCATCACAGGAGAAGGCGCACCATCGTTAGCCGGCGAGTCGACCGTTAACAAATGTACCTGTGAAGACCGGTGTGTACTTATGTACCAAAACTCATCGGAAAAAATAAGTGCCTCGTGCTAGGGCACGCTCCGCCCACCGTGAGCGGGTATCAGGCAAGACAAGCCCAACCCTCGCCAGATGTCCCGCTTCTCCCTTTTCATTCTCCTATTTTTCCACACTCTAAACTCTCGCAGGACCATCTTATGAATTTTTGTAGCGAGCACCGCAAATCCCATCTTGAGGATGTTTTCCCAATCCGTCCGCTTGATGGCCTCACTTTACTTTTTCACTGTGCCTATCCTACTCTGCAACCGACTTCTGAACTTTACACTTTTGCCCCTCCCCCACCTAGGCGCATGCCCCGCTCGCAATGGGCGTATCTCTATCATTTCGATAGCCAGTCTCACACGCAGCTTTATTCATTTTTTACTAACACTGAGGCGCTCTGGAACCGATTCACAGATCTGTTCGTCTGGCTCCGCGCACATCGACGCAGGCCCCGGCATTTGTGTGCGTCCCGCATTTTTCGACCGGCCACCCCTCGCTGATGTTGACCCACCTTTTTTTCCGCTCCGGAGCCTTTTTACAGACCTTTTGGTCCGGTTCCCTCCACATCTGCGCAGGCTCCGTCCACAATGTATGTGGCCCATATTTCTTGACAAACAACTCCTCGCTGAAGTTAATCCAGTATTTCCATTGTCTGCAGTGCCTTGGAACCGTTTTACAGATCGTTTCATCTGACTCCGCCACATCGGCGCAGGCCAAGGCACAATGTGCATTTTCCACATTTCCCAGTTGGCGTCGCCCTCTCTGAATTTAATCCTTTTTTCCCGGTCTCTGGGTGGTCTGGAATCGAGTAAGAATTTTTCGAATTTCGACTACCCCATGATCGAGGGTACGGCTCAACCACTGTGGGCAGGTATGCCCAGCTTTCGCCAGACGTTTACCTTCTGCATCCATTTTTTTGCGATCTCTTAACTCTCGCGAACCGAGTTACTGAACTTTATGGGAAGCATCGCCCATCTAAAGTGGGCCCGGCCATTTGTGTGTGATAGTTGGATACTGACTCATGGGTATTACAATTTAGAGTGTGTCCATAACGGCAACTGTCCCTGTTATACTCCTGCACAGACATAAGTGTATTAAAGATCTGCGAAACCCGAAAGTAGTAAAACTTTGCAGCTAAGGGAAGCTGAATCTATAGTCTCGTCTTCACTGTCTCAGGGAAGATCCTTCATCGATTCCTTCGATGCATCGAGCCATATGCAGCTCCGACTGTTGAAAAAACAATCGCTCATCAGTGTTGAGCACGTCACACAAGGAAGGCCCCATGTGCGTCTATCACCCACTATACATAAGTTGCTTCGTCCGTTTGTTTGTTTGTCTCTTTGTCCTACAATTCGGATCGACCTGCAGAACAGCTTGGAGGGGTCAGGTCAAGGTGGGGATGGGCAGGGCATGGGACAGGAAGTCAGGGACACAGGTGACCTATGGGAACCCCGCCTCAGTGGGCGTGGCATACGCCAACAGTTGGGGTGCCGCGGACAAAGATTCATAATTTGCTTCGAGCAGCCCAGAGATAGGTAAAAAGTGGATTAATGTTAGCAAGGGGTTGTCAGACTAATTAGGGGAGACATACCCGAATGAGCGAGTCGTACTTGAGATGTGCGGTGGTTCTCTGGTTGAGAGGTCTACTGACAACTTGAACTCAATTCCTTGAACGCATGAATCCATGTTTTTCTCTGCTCTCTCTTTCTCTTTCGTCCGCGTGGCACTCTATGGTCATTGTGACTTCGCACACAGTTTTTCACGTATGATAAGTGGCTCACCCATCCTGGAGTCTCCTCCCTTTGAAAAAGTTCGTTTCCTGGCTCGCCATAGTTTCTTCCACATTTCGATGCTTCGCCAGGCGCTGTCCTCTGTCTGCGTTTCTTGTTTTGCAACAGGACCATGCACAAAAGTTCAGGATGTCTTGTAACCGCGTTGAGACCCGTACACAGTGGGCGGAGCTCGCCCTCAATCATAGAGTGCTCATTTCAAAAATTTGTAGCTCGGTTCCAGAGCACTCGAGACCGGGAAAAGTGAATTAAGGTCATGAAGGGTCACCGGTTGAGGCGTGGGAGATACATGCTGTGGGCGGGCCTGTTCCAAGGTGGACGTGGCCAGACAAAAAAGCCTGTGAACGTTGTATCCATTTCGGGCAAAGTGGGCGTGGCCAACCTTAAAAATTCGTGAAACTGTTCCAGAGCACCTCAGACACCGGCAAAAGGTAAGCAAAGATGTGCAGAAGCTCAGCTATTGAAGCGAGATAGAAGCGCCCATTGCGGGCACAGCTGGTCAAGGGGGGGGGGGCAGGCGAAAGACAAAAATTCACAAGTTGGTAGCAGAGCTGAATAGGCACTGAGAACAAGTGCAGTGAGGGCCATAAGGGGTTGGCGAATGAAACGAGGGAGACATTCCGAAAATGGTCTAGCTGCATTCGAGATGGGCGGTGCTCGCTGCAGAACTTCGTGGTTCGTAGTGAAATTCAAGGAGATCAGGAAAAACCGTTGGAGAAGAGAATTGACCACATATGTCCATGGTGTGTTGAGATTCGCCCATAGTGGGGGGAGCGTGCCTTCAAGCACGAGTTGCCTATTTTCACTGCGTTTTATGCAGGCCGCCATACTCTCGAACACCTGTCGTAACAGTTACATTTGATACCAAAATTTTCGCTGACTTCGCAGGCGCAACTCCTTCTCTGACACGGCCATGCTTTGCCGGGTTTGCACGGCTTCGTCGCGCATACTTGTTAGGATGCTCGATGAATAAAGGGATTTTTTCTCATCTGCGCACTTGATCAACTCTGCTTACCACCATTTCATAGACAGTAATAAAGTCGTGCATTGCAGGTATGATGTTTTTGGTCAAGAAGTGTTGACCATGTGTACAGGTGAAAGAAGAGTCGGGTAACTGCTGTGTATCCAAAGGTGTAAAAGAAGGTACGCGCGGCAAAGCCGCGCCTGCCCGTCTAAGCCGGACCGTGTCACAGAAGGAGGAGCGCTGGTGAGCCGACCCTTTTTTCAATTCCATCTCAATGGGCCCCTTCAGAAGGACCCTCCACTCGGCAGCCAGTCACTAGTCGCAGTTGACCTATAGCGCTCAAAAGGCAGCGGTCTACAGGATTTATTCACTCTTTTGCCTTTTCTGGAAACGCGCAGTGAAAATGAACTTCACGTTTCCAGATCTTGTATGAGTCAATATATGCAAGAAACCTTTTCAGAAAGCACACCGGCCTCGAACGAATTACCGCTGACAACGTTCTCTTCAAGAGTACCTCGCAACGAAAAACGATAGTTCCACTCAGGAATTTTTCCAAAACTCCCCTGAAACTGCCCCCGAAAAAAATTTCAGGGATAATTCAAGGAGCGCCCAAGAAAAATTCGATACCAACATGAATGTCCACATTGATACAATATCTCAGTTTGAAAACACAACACACTTTTCTGTTTATTATTTTTAAAAATGTCGCTGCAATATGATGAAGCCACCGCATGTTCCTTTCTCGCTTTTGATTCTTACTGTTCTAATGGCAAAAAGAAAATCGTTGTCGGAATCAGAAAAAGAAAGAGAGGAAAAGATGCAAGACTAGCCGAATTATCGAAGCGCGCGGATTCGAGCAGGAATCTAGTGGAGGGAAAAGCTGTATCATGTCGTTTGTGCACAGAACAGTGCGAAGGACTACGAAATGTAATAGGTGGAAAGGCATCCACCAGGCCGCAAGGCCGCATAAGCCATTACGATGAAAGACAACGATGCCATAATAATTCGCTCGTAAGAGGTAACAAGAAAGGTTGCTATGACGTCGCGCACAAGTGTTGGATTTGGGTAAGGTTGGAATTTGAACTGAAATTGGGATAGTTTATCGAAATAGGTGCTCTCACATCGGCAGCAAAGAGAAGAATCGAATTCATCTGCTACCTGCATTAGTGGCTTGTAAGGATTACATACAAGCACATGAGTCAAAACATCGACAGCGGTGAGTTTTTGTGCGAGGGAGGCAGAGATGACACTAGAGGCATTCTCAGCTTCAGAGACAAGAATGTCATCGTAATCTGATTGTACAGGAAGTTCCTAAAAACTGAACCATTAAGTTACCTCCTACCTTCACCAACCTATATGGCGTACCTCCAGCTGGGCTTCCCGATAGCTATTTTTTGGCTCCGAATGAGTAGTAGGCTGAATTACATTAACTAACAGTGTGACACGTAGCTGTGATCGGATACCGTTCGATTTGATTCCACACTCCAGGAACTTGTTAGCTAAGGTGTTGATCTGAAATGAAAAAGAGTGCAATGTACATGTAGAAAAATTGGATCAATGCGGCGTCAACTCTGAACACTTTACTTTTAACTAGTGATTTTTTCGACACATCGCACAGCTCGTATGAGAAAAATGAATTAATCAGCGCTTGCTTCAGATGGTTCGCAGCGGAATCACAGCGGAGCACCGAACAATAGTAGCAAAATCAGAATCGTTCGCTTGAAATAAGGATGCCGCAACAGGATGTAGCCGAAGCATTTTTCTTCCAAAACAGGGTAGACCGACCCATATGATATACTAGGCCGATATGAACGTCTTCATGCACTTACAGCTTTGTGTTTCCATAAGTTTTTGAAAATGGTAAGTCTACGAATGTATGTGGATAAGCGTTCGACACAGGAAGAAAAGAGCGAAAGAAGCCCAAGCACTTCTGTCAACCTTCCCTGTGCAAGTATGCCTTTGAATCTGCTGCCGTATCAGACCGCTATTGACATTTTCACTTTACCCTAACCAATATCTGTCCTCATCGCTGACGGATTTTTGACATAACTCCAGAAAGCTTCTAGGGAGAATCTCGCCCGCAGAAACAGCGCTGATCTTTGGCTCTCCATACTTTGGAGAATGTTAAGAAGATGCCCCATGGAAAATTGGAGGTCCGACGATTTTGGGTTTGGAGATACAACAATATAACAAGATGGAAGCAGATTCGTTCAATCTACTTACGAAATGTCATGTAGTGCTGTAGGTACGGTTCAATCAACTGCAGCTACCCAAGTTACCAGTCAGTTTGCAGGAAGCGGATGTGTCGATCAAGCGGCCGCCCTACCCCACATGCATCACAATGCCTCTCACACTCACAGACCCATGTGTGGATACACAGTACATAGACCAGCGGTAGTCAGTACTACCACTGACACCGGTACTACTCTAACCGCCTAGCTGTACCAATGGTTTGCACACTTCTTTCTTGAACTGGGCGTGCTCGTTGTAGTCTTCAGCAGCTGCAGCTTTGTTTCAGGAGCCTATATGAGCTAGATACATTCTAAAGAAAATATGGAAATGCCCCCCCCCCGTTCTTATGGCATAGAGGCACTTTAGACAAAGGTACTCCAACAGCGAATTTTCCTTTTCTCGATCGATTCATCGGCGATTTTGTGGCCACATATTGCTAGAGAAAGCTGGTATTAAATCTGTATCTGTTAAACGGTACTGAGCAATGTTTTAAAGATGATCTTCACGTTGTGCCTTGTTGTAACCTCGGTGAATTTGGCATGACTTCAAATTTCAATTACTTCTCTCAAATAGTGTGTTCTTCTTCAGCTCTCAGTTCATGTTAGGGTGGGGTGCCGTGATTCCCGCTGCCCTTTTTCCTTGAACGGAGTGCGTGTCAAATCAAAGGTCACCGACTTTTTCCTAGGTCATATCAGAACATGGCGCATTCCTACTTGATTATTGAATAGGCACGGTTTTCGCATATTCAAGGGAAGTACAAACTCAGCAAATAACTGGTATCAGGACTCCTGCGAGTCCTGATACCAGTTATTATGCCTTTGCTGGTTTCACTAGCACTCAGCGCGAGCAACGCTCCGCACGTTGGGACGTTCGGTGAGTTGTTCGCAATCGTCGCCAAGTTGTTCACTTCTGACACCGAGGCGTCAGAAGGGTTCGGGACACGACGTCGAAACGGTTGGGAAAGTGATTGCTCGGATAGCTCCGAATTAAAGGCTCCACATGTTCAAGCCTCTGAAGATGACGCGAAGTCGAAACGTCTGGTAAATTATTATGGTGTCCGGAAAGTTTCGAGAAAATTCAACCAGCTTATTTAACACTTGTCGACAACAATAAGAGATAGTATTTCATATTATGAATATTGTCCATCCTATGTCCCTTGACCTTTGGACGGGGTTTTCTTGTGTGGGAGCTAGAACTAAGCGAGTACTGAGAATGAGGGGATGCACGCAACATCTAAGCTAAACTTCCATGAAAGAGACCCGATTCTCCTAGTATATGGTTTTGAAGCGCATTGCATCCAGCTTCGGAGGCGGTTCCTCTCTCCCGATTTTGCCGATAGAGGAGCCAGAACGGTGAAGATGAAGCAAAAAGCGCTGAGAGTCGTGCGCGTTCGTACATTTTCCAGGTAATGAAATCATACCAACAATGGGGAATAATGTCAAACAGCATAAGCATTGATCTACAAACATTTCTCCTTCTCATGACTTTCCGCTGAGGCATTCGCTCGCTACACTTCTTCAAACTAAAAACGTGAAAGCCTAATAAAAGCTTCATCTGGCAACCCCATTCGCAGAACCAATAAAATTCGACCCCCCTCCCAATCTTACCACTGGCTCGAAATGGCGAGGGGGCGAAACTGAATATCCCGGCTAACTGTGGAGGTACATACCACCTCAAAGGGTTAGCTACCCGAGGATTGGTGAATAAACAAGCTACAACACGCACACAGAGGGTCCGGAGCGGCGCAGAAGGAAGCACGAGCTCTATGCGCACTGGAGCAAAGGACGACCCGGAGGGACCTGCAGACAGAAACCGCCGCAGGATTTGGAGTGCACAGGACGAAAGCGCATGGGGACTGTCTACGAGTCTGCACCTACAACTGTCACACCACTGCTTCGATAGCCGACCAAACCATATTACTGGAGGCTAGTAAAAGAACAAGAATGCGAAGTTGTGGGCAAAAGTCGGACCACGGGCGGACTCGAACCCGCATCTTCTGCTTACGGCGCAGTTGCCGTGACTGCCCGGTAAGCAGAAGATGCGGGTTCGAGTCCCGCCGTGGTCCGACTTTTGCCACAACTCAGCATTCTTGATAACTTTCGTATCGCGCACTGCGGCGTAAAACAGCAGTTATCAAACAAAAGCTAGTAAAAGACTTTGTTTCGATGTCATCGCTCTCCAGGAAACAAAAGCAAAAGAAACAGCAACCAGGAAGACAGCGATGGCCACCTAATTGTTTCGGAGCCAAAGTGAGCGGAAGAAATGTCGGTGGTGTTGGATTCCTCGTCCACCATCGGCTCGAGCACATGGTCGATTTAGTCGAAGCGATCGGTCCGCGACTGGTCATCGTGTACGCATCGCACTTTCGTTAGTATTATCAACTGCTATGCACCAGCTACGGACGACGAAAAGGACACGTTCCACAAGGAATTGGAGATGATAAAAAGTGAAAAGTCCTACTACAAATATGTTATCAGAGACTCTAACGCAGTCTTCCATGAGGAAATACCAGCGACAACGCGCATTGGGCCACATAACCGGTGAAACAAACGAGAACGGCGAACGTTCGATGGACCTCTTAGAGCAATGCAATCTCTTTCACGGAAACAGTTTCTTCAGGAAAAAAGAGGATGGACGGCCGTGGGAGAGTCCGAATGCCATGACTCACAAGGAGATAAACCACCTTCACACTAACAGGGAGTGGAGTCTGCTCGAGTCAGCGTGGTGGATGCACTCCGCACTGGGAGCGACCATAGGCTGGTCAGAGCAAAAACTCGTCTCCGAGCGAGAATCCGAAGGCGCGACTTCTTCCGACCTCCTCACATACGGCTGCCACATTACGACACAGACGTGTGGAGGCGGCCGCCACTCACTACACGTGGCAGGAGGCGCAAGACTTGTCGCAAGATTATACCATGCTCATAGGACTTCTAATTGCGCTACGGCATCGGCTATCACAACAAGGACGGATTTGAAGGGCAGGTTGACGACAAGGCTCGCGCACTTCTGCAGCAACGAGCTGTCGTCCATCGTAACCCTGCATCAACACCATTGGAGCGCCGTGATCAACAAAGCGTGCCGCATCGCAGTGAAGAAGTCGATTCAGCGTTACAAGAGTACTCGACTGAAGGAAGCGGCAGCAGCGACAGCGAGTCTCAATGATGTCGTCGAGACATCAACGACACCGTTTGAGACTCGCTCTCGCTCGGTCACCACGGCTGTGCAAGATGCGATGGGCAGACAGCTGCCATCGAGAGCGAGGATTGGAGGGATCGCCGTCAATCTCTACACGGATCTCTACCGATCAACGATGCCGGTTTCACGCATGCCTACACCCACGCAGGACGCACCCCTACATACAGAAGAGTGGGAGGTGGAATACGCCTTGCGTAAAATGAAGCCGGGGAAGGCACCAGGACCTGACCGCATCCCAGTAGACTTTCTGAAGTCGGCGTCCCGCACCATCATAAAACAGCTCACCAGGCGCTATAACAGGTACATGGACGCGCAAGAGGTCTTGGACCACTGGAAGACGCCAAGCACGGTTCTACTGTTCGAGAAGGGCGAGCGCGACCTAATGAAAAACTACCGCCCCATCGCCCTCCTCTCGCAGCCATACAAGTTGTTCACGAAGGTAATCCTCAACAGGCTCGAACAACTGGATGACTATCAACCGGTGGAACAGGCCGGGTTTCGCAAGGGCTTCTGTTGCATGGACCACATCCATACTGTCACGCAGTTGATTGAGCGAACCAAGGAATACAAGCAGCGGCTCCTCTGCTTCATCGACTATACGGAAGCATTCGACAGTGTGGGGAAAATGCACCATGGACCCATCTACCCATCTGCAACTCGACTGGGACGAGAAAGGCATCAACGTCGACGGCAAGAAGCTATCCAACATACGATTCGTAGACGACATTGTCCTTATCAGTCAAAACTCAACAGAGCTACAACGGATGCTGGAGGAACTGAACAATGTCGGCAAAGCTATTGGCCTCACGATGAATCGGAACAAGACCGAGGTCATGCGCAACGAGCGGGCAGATGCGTCAACCGTGATACTCGAGGGCACTGCTCTACCGGACAGCGACCGTTACGTTTCCTTGGTGGAGTCATTTCCATGGACAACTATTTGCGCGGAGAAATTATGAGACGCAAAAAAAAGCACATGGACGGCGATGGGACGCATAAGAGAGGCGGCCCAGTTTATTTCAGACAGAAAAATAGGAGCTGCACTATACGTCTACAGTACTGCCTGCACTTTGTTACGCATCCGCGACGTGGGCAGAGAACAAGGTGTTCACGCTGATGTTGACACGTGCCCAATGAGCATCGGAACGGACCCTGCTGAATATCAACCGCGGTGAGCAGAGATGTCGCAATCGCAGTACAGAAATGCGCTCATTGTCAGGCATCCACGATGCTGTAGAATACGCGTGGACAAAGAAGAGATGGAACGGACATGTGGTCAGACGTACGGACGTTCGGTAGATCACTCGCATCACACTCTATCCCACAGACGCGAAGCGCAAGACTGACCGCCCTGCAACCCGTTGTAGACTCCTTGAAGCAACTCCAAGAAGTTGCAGAGCAACACTGGGTCCAAACTGCTCAAGATCGCAAACAATGGAGGGAAGCGTGTGCTCGTCGCTAAAGAGGACTGGCTGAAAACGAGCGTCCACGTATCCAAGTAATAAAATTCGACTTCATGTCGAAGTTATAACTAGGAATATGACCTAACTTTATTCAGCATCCTACCATAATAATGAAATCAGTGTCCGAAGACGCACTAGACGGTCAACACCACTTTGTAAATGGTAAGGAAAGCTGGTTGCAGCGAGCGAACAAAGGACGACTTCTGGTCCCTGATAGGGGATGGCTGAGCTAGCGTCAGAAGAGGTTGTCATTGTCCCTAAATGGGCATGTATGCGCAACGAAAGACGGTTACAGTTATCATGGAGGTTTCCATTGTGGGTCACGTAACAAGCTTTGTAAACGCGACTCCCACCTAATCAGCTTCTACAGCGGGAGTACTAGAACACAGATTGATTTCGTTCTTGTCAGATATCGCGACCAAAGGCCGGTCACAGATGCGAAGATTGTGCCGTACCGGACAGTTGCCCCGCAGCATTGTCAAGTAATCTGTAAGT